AGTGCTGCGCCCATTTCTGCAAATCACCAGACCCGTACCTGCAGCAGGAAGTAAGATTACTCTCCGAAGCTTAAAGGGTCAGCCTCGGAACTGCTGTTTTGCACCCTCTTCTGGTTGGTGTCAAGTTGCTGAATGCCACACACAGTCCTACATGTTGACCTTACTTTTAAAAATATATTCCTAAAAAAGGTTTTCTATGGTCAAATATAGAGAATAGATTTTTTTCAACTTACAACCTTCTGATTCTTACAGAAAATTATCCTTCCAGAAGATACTAGAAATATTTATTGAAGATAATTTGATAACCTCAAATTAATTCTCAATTCTTATCATCTGGGGGATTTGTTTCTAAATCATAGCTTAATTAACGTTTACTTTTGATTTATGTTCCCAACACATCCAAAAGCTGACTTACAGATAAACTGATTGATGCACTGATTTTTTTTTAAATGGAGATATTTCCCATTTTTATTCCCCTGGAAAAATATAATTCCCCAGCCGTACTAGAACTGTTTTTATAGTGGAGTGGATGATGCTTTTGGCAGAACCAGAGAAGAGTGCTAATTCTTGGTGAGGTGAGCTGGCTGGTATGGGTGGATTGGGAGCTGCCCCCTGCCAAGCTGCATGCTCCTTCACCTGGGTGGTCTCTGCCAGCCAGATCCCTCGAAACTCCCATTTGATTTTTTAAAAAAAGCACAGCAGAGCATTTCCCTTTGTATGTTCCTAGAACAGAACCGTTTCTAAAACAACTTGAAGTAAAGTTTTATTATCTAAGCATCTTTTTTTGTTGTTGTTTTATTTAAGTGTACTAGAATGTAAAACCTTTATGGTTCAGGTTTTTAAAAACTGGTAGAATATTGTATTTGCCTCATCTGATGCACTGTATTTCAATCTATAATTAAAATTACAATATGTTTGCTCCCTGGTCTTTTTGTTGTCACTCTTTAAGTGTTTTAGTAGGTTTTCCTTTGGGGAAAATTAGTAATAATAAAGTAACATGAAGTAAATGTTTACTATATGCCAACTACAAATAATATATGTAAAGTGCCTAAATATTCACTTACAAAATCATACATGTAATTAATTCATCAGGAGTCTTAAGTGTTTGGCTGGAACAGATAAGCCTCCTTGTACAGCGCTAAAACCTAAAATTGGCCTTTCCCCAATTCTAGAGGACTTCACGTTTTTTGGAGCCCTGTAAAGGCCTGTGTGAAATCACACTGCCCCCTACAGGTCAACCTTCTTATTAGGGCCTGAGATCTCTGCTGTCCTGAGAAACACTGCTGAGTGAGAGAACCTAATATTAGGCAGAAGATGCTCAGTGGGACCAATTGCCAGGCAACTATCCCCAGCAGTGACACCAGAGAAGAAGGCTAGGAGGGCCACTGTGCCAGGTCCCCACTAGACATGTAGAACTTCTGCACAGGGCAGTCACATGGTGAGTTTGAGTTTGAGGATTTGGTGCTGTTTCACTACCAGACTAGTTTAGCAAAAATGGAAAAAAAAAAAAAAAACTGCTGTCAATGTGAAACAACTCCAATCACTGCACAGTATCTGTGCAGCATGTTCATGCTGACAATTCCATCCATCTTCTTAGTTTGTAATTCAAGCTGTGAGTTGACAAGGTGGTCTGCTGGGACTTGATCCCCAACAGTCCACTCTCCACAGGCAGGTACAACGCCCCTTTTCTTGCTCAGCTGTCTCTGCCTGAAACAACTCACATAACTAGAAGTTTTGCTGGTGACTGGCTTTCTCTGAGGACAGAGCAGTGGGCTGGGAAGCTGCCAGGCAGTGCAGCCACGTCTATCCTCCCAGAGGAGTTGATGCTACCTGGCAAGCTGCAGCATCAGGCAGCCCATGAAGCCTGGGTGTGGCCTTTGGAGGCTCTGCTCCTCCATCTGCCCTCCTAGCCCAGGATATTGGGCATATTATACTGCAGATGTTGTATAATGGGAGGCCACCCCCAGAAGCCCTGACACTAGGCTGTTCATGAAGAGGTAACTGCAAGAACTCTCAACTTGGAGAAAACCTCTGGCTGGAAATGAAGAGAATGAGCTCAGCTCCATATCAACTCTTGTAGGAAAAGAGAGCCACCTCAACACAATCCCAATACAACGTTCCATTTTGTTTAATGCACACACTAGACATTTTACAATTCACACTTGGACACAGCACATACAAAAGGATGTACAGAGGATTCTGAGATCGGTCTCCAGCACTTCTTCCTCAGAGAAATGATACTAACCCCAATCCAAGTGGTTGAGGCAGTGGGCCTGCCCCACAGCATGAGGACATTCCTCCCCACCAAGTTCCCTATCTTCTGGCTCCCTTAGCAGTCTTCCATGGAGCTGTGAGCTCACTTGGATATACTCAGAGCTAATACTATAAATGCTGAACTTTTTATAAGTTCTCCCTGCCAAGCTTGGCTGATAATCAGTGTTCTCAATTGGCCTTTCCAGATCACTCCCTTTTCCTACCACCTAGGACCAGACCTGAACTG